ATTCAGATAGGGGGAGGCTTACTTGGGTTAGTGAACTTATGAATGGTGAAGGCACTAGGTGGGATAGGGAGCTGATACTGCAAACTTTTCATCCCAGAGATGCCAGGGAAATTCTTAGAATCCCTCTTAGTCAGTCTGAAGGAAAGGATAAGTTGGTATGGAGCCTCAATCAGAATGGCAGATTTTCAGTAAGGTCAGCTTATAAAATCATTGAGATGAGCAATAGATCAAGGTTAAACATGCCAGAATCTAGCATGGACCAGGTGATTAATAAGAAAGTGTGGAAGCTGACATGGAAGCTGAAAGTTAAAAATAAAATCAGAACTTTCATTTGGAGGTGTTGGTTTAATTTTCTTGGAACCAAAGATAATCTGATTAAGAAGGGAGTGAAGGTGGACCCTATTTGCAACTGTTGTGGGCAGGAGGAAGAAGATCTTAGGCATGTATTTTTCTTCTGTCAGAGAGCTCAATTGGTTTGGAAGTTTGCTGGAATAGGATGGGAGGGGCTGAATATGAAGCAGCATTCCTTCAAGGAGTGGTGGGGGGCTATTTGCAGTATTGATGATGCCCGGTGCTTAAAAGACAGAATAAGCTTAACAACTTATTTATTGTGGTGGCTATGGAAGACGAGAAATAACTGGATTTTTCGAAACATTTGGCTGGGGGAAAGAGAGACAGCTGAAGGAGCCGTGGGAGAGTGGAGAGAATATGATGAGATGAGAGCATTTGTGGGTTGAACTGGGTTTATTTTGCTAGTGTGCAGTGGTTGGAATTGGAAGTATTGTCTAGGATGACCTTCTTGTCATCAGTTTTCTATCTCCATAATTCCATCTTCTGGATGTCTGGTTTGTTGCAGAAGCTTTCAACTCTGATTTTGATGGTTTGGTAGTGCCTTTATTTGGTTGTTTGCTGGAATGTGGTTGTGGGGTTTGGAATTTCATCCTTTTGGTTCTGCAGCTTGGTTTTGGCTCCAGATTGGAGATTCCTTGTGTGGCTTCTCAGGCTGTGTTTTGTTTTTTGTTGGGCTCTGCTTTTGTGTAGTTTTTCTTTTCTGTTAGCTGTGCAGTCTTTTGTGTAGGCTCTTTTGTGGAGGGGGAACATGATATGTTGTGTGATTCCCCCCTTAATTTCCCCGATACCAAATTGTGTTCTGGTTGGGAGAAATTTTGTCAATTTAGGGTGATTCGAACTTTGTAATTATGCTTTTGAGTTTATAAATTCCATCGTCGTTTGATAAAAAAAAAAAAAAAAA